TTAATCTCGTATCGTGATATTATAAAGATTATCGTGAAAAATGAAAAATATCGTCCCGAGTTTCATGCAGTGAAGCAAAAGCTGGTTATAACCAGACAAACTAACCTTAGTTAGTGTAGTGGATTAACTGCAGTTAACTAGCCCATTGGATTAGAACTGACAAACTCAGCTTTTGTTTCATCCTGAAACACGCGCCTTACAGGCGCGTACTTCAAGACATATATGCTGCAACGGAGAGTGGAGCCCACTTCCACTTTGGTACTTTAACAACACTTGTCACAGCAAACAGTCTCCACGTTGTTTAATGTTTCAGTTTTCAGAAAAAAATAAATAAATTTGTGCAACAAATTACTTCTCCTTCGTTTTGGTTAAATGCTAAATTTGGTCCCTCAACTTTAGTGAGTTACACATTTTTGGTCCTTCAACAAATTTTTGTACTTTTTTGATTCCTTAACTCTAAAAATTGCACAATTTTAAATCCTTCTGTCAGTTAAGTGACACATGGCAGTTAAATATTCCAAAATGGCACTTTTTAATGATGTGGCAATGACAACTCTTATAATTAACTTACGTGGAGTATGCCAAGTCAGACTTAATTGTTTTTTTTTTTAATTCTTTTCAATTCTTTAAATATTAAATTACTAAAATACCCTTAATTTATTCTTCTTGCCATGGTTCTCCTTTGTGCTTTCTCTGTTCATCTTGCCACCGCCACCATTTCCAGTCATTTTTCCTCCTTTTCCCCCTCATCAGCTTGACCATGACTAGGTTCATGAGGAACCCAGAGACGATCTAGGTTCGTCCACCATTTCCAGCCATTTTTCCTCCCCTTCCCCCTTATCCCCTTCCCCCTCATCAGCTTGGACATGACTGGGTTCATGAGGAACCCAGATTTGCTTTGGGTTCGCATCGAACCCAGAGCATAGCAGACTTGGGTTCATCGACGAGAACCCAGAGCAGATCTGGGTTAGTCACGAACCCAAGTCTGCTTTGCTCTGGGTTCGTCGCGAACCTAAGTTTGCTCTGCTCTGCTTTGGGTTCGACGCGAACCCAAGTCTGCCCTAGGTTCGTCGCGAACCCAGGTCTGCTCTAGGTTCGTCGCGAACCCAGGTCTGCTCTGTTCTGGGTTCGACGCGAACCCAGGTTTGCTTTGGGTTCGTTGCGAACCCAGGTCTGCTCTCGGGTTCAACGCGAACCTAGATCTCTTCTGGGTTCGTCGCAAACCCATTTCTTTATTGCCATAGATTAGGTAAAATTTGTTGAATATATTTATGTTTGAGTCCAGTTTGATTCATGGTGATTCTTTGTCGCAAACCCACAATGTTCATTATTAATTCCTCGTTTTTGCAGGAAGATGTATGCTAACTCTCTCATTCATGGTGATTCACTCATGCTTTTTGCAGAGGATAGAAATAAGTAAAGTAGATTTATGGAGGAAACAGTGGCATTTCTTTTGAAATTTTATGTTGCTTTTAATTGTGGAGTACTGAATGATAAAGGATGAAAGAGGCATTCTGAGTTCATGACGAACCCATAACTGGGTTCGCGAAGAACCCAGATCGTCTCTGGGTTCCTCACGAACCCAATCATGCCCAAGAAGGGGATGAGGGGAAGGGAGAAGAGAAACAGTGACAACTAAAGGAAAAATGGCTGAAAACGGTGGCGGTGGGAAGGAGAACAAAGAGAGCACAAAGGAGAATGATGGAAAGAAGAATAGATTAAGGGCATTTTAGTAATTTTATATATAAAGAATTGAAAAAGATTAAGAAGGACAATTAAGTCTGACTTGGCATACTCCACGTAAGCTAATTGTATGAGTTGTCATTGCCATGTCATTAAAAAGTGCCATTCTGGAATATTTAACTGCCAAGTGTCACTTAACTGACGAAAAGATTAAAATTGTGCAATTTTTACAGTTAAGGGATAAAAAAAATGCAAAAATTTGTTGAGGGACCAAAAATGTGTAACTCACTAAAGTTGAGGGACCAAATTTAGCATTTAACCCTTCGTTTTTAATAGTTGTCAGTGTAATTCAATATAGATTGTGTTAAATTATATTATGTTAATTATTGGATAAAAATAAATTTTTTAATATTAAAATTTTTTATTTAATAATTTTTATTTTATAAATTAATATAACGAAGAAAAAAATTAAAGTGTTTTAATATTAAAA